AGGCAGGAGAATCGCTTGGACCTGGGAGGCGGAGGCTGCAGTGAGCTGAGATCGCGCCACTGCACTTCAGCCTGGGCAACAGCGTGAGACCCTGTCTCAAACAAAAAACAAAACAAAACAAACCAAGAGCCTCCACACTTGGTACCCAAGCTTCCCACCTCCTACCCACAAATCAACTGAATAATCCTCTTAGCTATGGGAAACATCAATGCTCTGTAGATAATGACTTACACAACTTTGACTTTTAGATTTTGATAAAACCTTTGTGTTCTCTGTTCTAGCCCCTTGCTCATCAAAGTGTGGTCCATGGACCAGCAGCCTTGCATCTCCTGGGAACTTGTTAGAAATGCACAGCCTGCATCTCACCCCAGACCTACTGGATCACAATCTGTATTTTAACAAGAGTCTAAAGTGGTTCGTTAGCATTTTTAATTGTGAGAAGCAAAAGATCAGTGGTTCTCAAAGTGTAGGCCTGATAACAGCAGCAGTATCACCTGGGGCCATGCAGAAAATTCAGATCCCTGGGTCCCACCCTACACCTGCGGAATCAGAAATCTGGGGGGATGAGGTCCAGCAAGCTTTTTAATAAGCCCTCCAGATGATTCTGGTGCACTCTAACGTTTGGGAACCACTGCTCTAGATCGGTGATTCTCAATCTTGGCTAAATATTGGAATCACCTGGGGAGTGTGGCGGCTTTCCCCATATTTAGAGTGCAGCCCAGATGAGCTGAATTGCAATTTCAGTGGTTCATCCAGGGAATCAATATTTTTTAAATTCTCCAGGTGATTCCAGTGTGAAACCAAGGCTGAGAACCACTGCTCTAGTCTGGAACAATGCTTCTCAAACCTGGCTTCACATTAGAAATACTCAAGGAGCTTTATGAAAAACAAAAAAGAAAAACTGATGCTCAGGTTCTCAGAGATTTAAATGGGTCTGAGTGAGGCAAAAAAATCACTTTTTTTTTTTTTTGAGATGGAGGTCCTCTTGTTGCCCAGGCTAGAGTGCAATGGCGTGATCTCGGCTCACTGCAACCTCCGCCTCCCTGGGTTCAAGTGATTCTCCTGCCTCAGCCTCCTGAGTAGCTGGGATTACAGGCATGCTCCACCAAGCCGGGCTCATTTTGTATTTTTAGTAAAGATGGGATTTCTCCATGTTGGTCAGGCTGGTCTCAAACTCCTGACTTCAGGTCATCTGTCTGCCTCGGCCTGCCAAAGTGCCGGGATTACAGGCATGAGCCACAGCACCTGGCCAAAACAAATCACTTTAAAAAATTCTCAGGTGATTCTGATATCCAGCCAGATTTGCAAACTACTGCTCTAGAAATGCCATTCCCCCCATATAAACTTCAAGTTAATATAAAGAGTAGACAGTTTGGAGGTGATGGAAGAGATACATTTTTAATTTCCCTTATGTTTACTCAGCCTTTTCAGTGTATTAGGCTAGTGACTATGAAGATTAAAAATGAGCACAAACCCTAGCTCCTGCCCATAGGGAAAATATAATCTGTATCGGGAGGAGAGACACACACACGTCTACATATGAATAATGGTTCAAAAAAAAAAAAAACCACATCATTTTATGCTACTGACTAGAATTCACTAAATCACACATATCATTATGTCACTGTTAGGTCAAATTCATTTCTATTCTTTTTAAAATAATAGGAAGCCAGGTCAGTGATACACACCTATAGTCCGAGCCACTCAGGTGTCTGAGGCAGGAGGATTACTTGTCCCCAGGAGTTCAAGGCTGCAGTGTGTGATGATCGAATCTTGCATAGCAATACACTCCAGCAATATAGCAAGACCCCATCTCAAAAAAATAATAGGAGTAATCTCTTAAAAAAATAATAGGAGCGGCCAGGCACAGTGGCTCACACTTGTAATCCCAGCACATTGGGAGGCCGAGGCGGGCGGATCACAAGGTCAGGAGATTGAGACCATCCTGGCTAAAACAGTGAAACCCCGTCTCTACCAAAAATACAAAAAATTAGCCGGGCATAGTGGCGGGCGCCTGTAGTCCCAGCTACTCGGGAGGCTGAGGCAGGAGAATGGCGTGAACCCGGGAGGCGGAGCTTGCAGTGAGCCGAGATCGCGCCACTGCACTCCAGCCTGGGCGACAGAGCGAGACTCCATCTCAAAAAAATATATATATATAATAGTAATAGTAGGAGCAAGAAGTACATATATGTTGGAAAATGGTAAAGGGACAATTTTAAATACAATTAGTCTTTAGATATTTGAACTTGGAGAAAGTGTTGGGAAAAGTCAATGGCCCCTTCAGAGAGTAATATAAGAACTTAAACTTTCCTCCATGGCACAAAGAAAAGAAAATTAAGCTGCGGAACCACTGACAATTAATACGCCCTAATATTGTTTAGTAAATTAACTTATAACTACTAACAAAACTAGCGATTAATAAATCAACAATTAAAGAGTTCACAATAAATATTTCTCCCTTTTATTATTGGAAATAGAACTATTTCTTTTGACCTCAGAAGAAAAAGAGAGTTTCTAAATGAAGAAAAACCCCAAATGTTCTCCTTCCGGATCAGCTTCTTTTGAGAACACTTTTTAGTAATGAAAAATATTGTCCTAGTTTGGGATAAATTACTGGCTATAAACATTTTTCAGGCCAGGCATGGTGGCTCATGCCTGTAATCCCAACACTTTGGGAGCCAAGGTGGGAGGATCATTTGAGCCCAGGAGTATGAGGTCAGCCTGGGCAACATGATGAGACTCCCATCTCTACAAAGACATTTAAAAACAAATTTAGCTAGATGTGGTGGTGCATGCCTGTGTTCCCAGCTACTCGCCGAGGCTGAGGCAGGAGGATTGCTTGAGCCCAGGAGGTTGAGGTTATAGTGAGCTACGATCGTGCCATTGCACTGCAGCTTGGGTGAAAGGCCAGACCCTGTCTCAATAGAAATTTTTTTTCAAAGATATTGGACTGTTGAATTTATTTACATTTTTTAAATGAGCAATCAAGCAAAATTCAAAATTTCATGTAAGTTTTATGGAACAAGAGTATATTAACATCTAAAATTGGGTAAAAATACTAAAAACTGCTTGAATTCACCTAGTTTTTAAACTATTTCAGCTAGATATACTACACCTATTTCATTTATTAGTACAATGGCAAAGATGTGACATAATTCTTTTTTTTGAATTTTATTTTTATTTTTTGATTAAAGTATTTTTAAGCCCAAATCTCACCAGACGTCATTCTTTATTTTTATTTATTTTTTTATTTTGAGACAGAGTCTCATTCTATGACCCAGGCTGGAGTGCAGTGGTGCCATCTCGGCTCACTGCAACCTCCGCCTCCCGGGTTCAGGTGATTCTTGTGCCTCAGCCTCCTGAGTAGCTGGGATTACAGGTATGCATCACCACACCCGGCTAATGTTTGTATTTTTGGTATAAATGGGTTTCACCATGTCGGCCAGGCTGGTCTTGAACTCCTGGCCTCAAGTGATCCTCCCACCTCGACCTCCCAAAGTACTGGGATTACAGGCATGAGCCAACGCACCACCAGACATAATTCTTTAAGACAAAAAAGGGAGTCTCTGAATAAAAACCACAAATGTTCATCCACCTCATCTATTTTGTTCCGTTAGAAAATGCTGAGAGGTTAGAACAGGTTAGAGTATGTTAAAAAAAAAAAATACCAATTGGGATTTGGAACAGGTCTAAGGGCAACCACATTTAACATAATAACCTCTCCTTTGTATTTGAAAATGACCTCACGTTAGCAGGTGATAAATATCAAGCTCTTTTTCCAGTAAGAGTGGTGGGCTCTACAATTCTAACCCCATTCTTGGCCTGTATCCCTGGACATACCCATAGGAGGTGGGCGGATAAGATCTTTCTGTGCCCCTGTGAAATAGAACTAAGTTTACTGGCTCCAAAAGGTTTTGAATCCATCATGTGGGAGAGGATTTACTCTCAAAATGATCTGATGAGGAAGAGAAGGCATTTATTACTGTCCCAATTTTATAAATAAAGAGACTAATGTTTAATTATATCATACCATTTACACAGGACAATAACAAATGATGTGATTTTCAATGGGGTTTATAGAAACATCTGAAGATTGAAAAAAAAAAAAAACCCCACCTTATGTTGTACCCTACCCTCTCCCCGACCACCCAATATGTATACAGAATCTGAGCTGAGGCCGGGTGCGGTGGCTCAAGCCTGTAATCCCAGCACTTTGGGAGGCCGAGACGGGCGGATCACGAGGTCAGGAGATCGAGACCATCCTGGCTAACACGGTGAAACCCCGTCTCTACTAAAAAATACAAAAAACTAGCCGGGAGCGGTTGTGGGCGCCTGTAGTCCCAACTACTCGGGAGGCTGAGGCAGGAGAATGGCGTGAACCCGGGAGGCGGAGCTTGCAGTGAGCTGAGATCCGGCCACTGCACTCCAGCCTGGGCGCCAGAGCGAGACTCCGTCTCAAAAAAAAAAAGAATCTGAGCTGAGAATCGCTTCTGTATGTGAGCTGGGGCATGTTCCACATTAACCAGAATGTGCTGGGGCATTTAACAGGGTTGAAAACCTCTGCTGCGGTGGTAACAAAGGTAATCCACACAGGGAATCAAATGCTTCAGTTCTATATTTTATCATTTGGAAAACGCAGTTTTAAAAAGTTCTGGATTTCTTTGAATGGAGAATTTTGGATATAATAACTGACATAGTAATGGACTCATAATTACTTATAGCAACTATAGCAATTTTGGATATAATAATTGACTTATAGCAATAATTGACTTGTAGCAATTACACTGTAAACCATTGGTGGCTTTTGTTTTGGTCATAAGAATTTGTGGAATAAACATAAACATAAACATAAACATACAGGGTATGCTGTGGAAGCATTTGTTTTACCCAGCTAGGTGGCTGCTATCCTCATCCTAAAGGAAGTGGTATCTAGACATTGCAAACAAACGCAACTTCTAGTTTAATGTTTCAGAAGACATCTCAAAGTAGCCACTACGTACCTGTTCTGGATAAGATTCTCCTCTTTTTTTATTGTGAAGTTGAAGATAAGAGTCCATTTTAGGGGTGGGTAATCCCAAAGTGAGCTTGTTTTTTTCCACAAAATGTTGTTTGGACTTCCTTCGCCGAGGGCCACGTGATCCCGGCAGGAAAACCTCGTTATGTGAACTTGAGCTCTTCCCGTACTGAGAAAGGCTGCTCGACTTCTCCTCCAGGTCACTGTCGCTCAGCTCTGAAAACGGCTTGCTGCGACGGCCACCATGCTCATAGTTTGGGCTTAAAAATTCACTACCAAGTAAAGAAGCTGCACTCTGTGGACTCTCTTTCTGCTCACCTTTTCCCCCCGCGAGTTCCACTGACGTCTCCTGGGAAGGGTAGAGGGGAGCCAAAGGCAGATTTTCTAAAGAGCTGTCCGGGGACTCCGGCAACGCTTCCACAGACAGCAGCTGACCTTCCTCCTTCTTACTCTTCCAGTTTGGGTCATAGCGGAGGTCTGAATATTTGTCTTCTATTGGTTGTTGCCTGCCCAAGGCAGAAGAGAAATGTCAAGTCCTTAATTAAAATAAATTCACTCCTTATAGTCAGTTGATCATTTTATTTGAAATCAACCTCAGTCTTTCTCCTATAGTTTTCCTTTTATTATCTGTATGTTAAACACAAATCACAACAGGGTGCAGAAGCTCATACCTGTAATCCCAACACTTTGGGAAGCCGAGGCAGGAGGATCGTTTGAAGCAAGGAGTTCAAAGCCAGCCTGGGCAACACAGTGAGGCTCCATCTTTGCAACAAACTGTTAAAAAAAATTAGCTGGGTATGGTGTCATACCTGTAGTCCCAGCTACTCAGGAGGCTGAGGAGGGAGGATTGCTTGAGCTAAGGAGTTAGAAGCTACAGCGAGCTATAATCATGACACTGCACTCCAGCCTGGGAGACAGCGTGAGACCCTGTCTCTTAAAATAAATAAATTAATTAATAAACATAAAGACAGATCCCAGGCCCCAATTAGACCCACACACTACACATAAGGGCGCAAGGCCTTAATTGTCCAAGTTCATTGAAATATGGAATAAAAATGGGGGATAATTAATTTTTAAGTGTCAGAAAACAACTGAAAAACAAATGTCTATAATGTTAAACCAATAATCACTGTGGTTCAATGAATGCAATTACTTATGTACAAGAATAATGACTCAGTATTTTAGCTGGTGAAGATAAAACTGTGTTTCACGCTTTGGCTGGTAATAAAATTCATACACTGACTAACAATGTTCTGGTCAAGGACAAGCCACATATACGACTGAGGTCCTACGATACTGTAATAGAGCTGAAAAATTCCTGTCATCTAGCGACGCTGTAGTCCTTGGAATATCATAGTACAATGTGTTGCTTATTATGTTTGTGGTGCTGCTGATATAAACAAACCTACTGTACTGCCAGTCCTATAAAAGTGTAGCACATACAATTATATACAGCACATAATCCTTGATAATGATAATCAACAACTATGTTACTGGCTTTTGTATTTACTATATGATATGGTTTGGATCTGTGACTCCACCCAAATCTCATGTCAAACTGTAATCCCCAATGTTGGAGGTAGGGCCTGGTGGGAGGTGATTAGATCATGGGGACAGAGTTCTCATGAATGGCTTAGCCCCATCCACCCTTGGTACTGAGTAGTGAGTGAGTTATGGTGAGATCTGGTTGGTTAAGAGTGTATAGCAGCTTCCCACCCTCTCTCTTGGTCCTGCTCTGCTATAAGAGGCCTGCTCCCCCTTTGCCTTTGCCATGATTGTAAGTTTCCTGAGGTTTCCTTAGAAGCCAAGCGGATGCCAGAATCATACTTTCTGTAGAGCCTGCGGAACTGTGAGTCAGTTAAACTTTGTTTTTAAAATAAATTACCCAGTCTCACTCAGGTATTTCTTTGTAGCAATGCAAGAACAGGCTAATACACTATACTATATATATATATATATATATATATATATATATATATAATTTTTTTTTTTTGAGACAAGTCTTGCTCTATCGCTCAGGCTGGAGTGCAGTGGTGTGATCTTGGCTGGCTGCAACCTCTGCCTCCCGGGTTCAAGTGATTCTCGTGCCTCTGCCTCTAGAGTACCTGGGATTACAAGTATGTGTTAACATGCCTGGCTAATTTTTGTATTTTTTAAATTTTTAGTAGAGACAGGGTTTTGCCATGTTGGCCAGGCTGGTCTTGACCTCCTAGCCTCCTGTGATCCACCCGCCTCAGACTCCCAAAGTTTTGGGATTACAGGCATGAGTCACTGTGCCCAGTCACTACACTATATTTTTTATCATTATTTTAGAGTACACTCCTACTTATTTTTTAAAAAGTTAACTGTGAAACAGCCTCAGGCAGGTCCTTCAGGAGGGATTCCAGAAGAAGGCCTTGTTATCCTAGGAGATGACAGCTCCATGTGTGTTACTGCCCCTGAAGACTTTCCAGTGAGACAGGGTATGGACAGGCAAGACAGTGATATTGATGATCCTAACCCTGTGTGGGCCTAGACTAATATGTGTGTTGGTGTCTCAGTTTTTAACAAAAAAGTTGAAAAAGTAAAAAAAAAAAAAAAGAAAAAGAAAAAAGCTTACAGATAAGGATATAAAGAAGTTTTATACAGCTGTACAATGTATTTGTGTTTTAAGCTGTGTTATTACAAAAGAGTGAAAAAGTCAAAAAAAATTAAAAGTGCCTAAAGTAAAAAAGTTACAGTAGCTAAGGTCAATTTATTAATGAAGAAATATTTTTAAAAATAAATGTAGAGGAGTTGAAGTGTTCAGTATTTCTGAAGTCCACAGTAGCTTACAGTAATGTCTTAGGCCTTGAAATTTGCTCCCTGCTCACGCACTGCCTCACCTAGAGAAACGTACAGTCCTACAACCTCCATTCATGGTGAGTGCCTATATAGGTGTACCATTTAAAAACTTTTATGCTGTATATTTACTGTACCTTTTCTATGTTTAGATGCACAAATACTTATCACTGTATTACAATTCCATACAGTGTTTAGTACAGTAACACATTGTACAAATTGTGTGTAGTAGGCTGTACTATCTAGGCTTGTATAAGTACACTCTATGATATTCCCACAATGTTGAAACCACCTAACCACAAATTTCTCAGACCATACATACCCCTGTCATCAGGCAATGCATGACTGTATAGACATCTGGCTGTTTAGAAAGAGAACTGTGAATTGTTGCCTAGACAACATTTGCTTTGGATGAAGCTATATAGGTATTCAGTCAAGATAAAACCTTGCTTTCCCTCCGGGATTCTTGACTGAATACCTATATAGGTTCATTCTTCTTTTCAGTGATTTTGCTTTTCACTTCATTTTGTCTTTGTAGAGTGTATCTAATGTACTACAGAAAGATCCCTGAGGCTTCAAATCAGACCAGATCATGGCTCACTGAAAGGTTCATAGCCTCTTGGCTGTCAGCTATGCACACGTAGCTCAGTCGATAGTCAGAATGCACTGGACACTGCAGGAGGGGCCTATCTGAAGAAAAGGTTAAGCAGACGGTCCTGCCTGAGAAAAACGAACTAGCCTATAATCAGTTCATGTGACCCAAAATAAAGTCTCCCTTTTCCCCACGACAATCTCAATTTGTACAGCACCCCCAGTCTTAACAAAAAAAAAAAAAAAAAAGCTGGTAATATGGCATATTTAATGGCCTCTTTGATCTTCAAAAAGCTAAATGGGAGAGATTTTCCTTCCTTGAATACAGTAGATGCAACCCTCTAATCAAAAAGAAAATGTAAATCACCTAGGCTTTTTATGCTATTTGATATTCCCGTTTACAGAGGACATAATTGTATGCTGGGTAAACAAACTAATGGTCCCCCCTAATGTTAATTTACTTTTCTTAATGTGGACCTGGGTTTCTTTGATTTGATGTAAAGCAAAAACTGGAGCAAAAAGCCAAAACTGTCGCGCCTTGCTGAATTGTCACTTTGAATTTTTTAGTTCACATATTGTGATGAGGAACTTCTTGAAATAAGTGGCTCCTCCTTTTCCAACAAGAGAGGAGACAAGTTCTTCTCCTTCAGCAAAATGGGAATGGTCCACATTTGTTAGAAGATGGGACGCCCAACCCCTCCCTGCCCTGCAGGGTCACCTGCCTCTGGGGCTTTGATGGGGAGGTTTCTCCCAAGTGATGTACTGTCCTAGGAACTCACGGTGTTTCCTGTCCCTGCCTTTCACTTGACCCTTAAGCATCATAGGGCAGGGATATGAATTGTACTGAATTAAACATAAGTTTCAACTGTGGTTGTTTAGGTGGGGGAGAAAGCTCAATTATTATCTTCAAGTAAATACAGATTTTTTTTGTAAAGAAAGGTGCTATTTTCCCATATTTATGCTGTGCTGAAAGAAAAAAACTGAATTTAACTTTCTTAATTCATTTGCTCATTCATTGATTCAGCAGGTACTTATTTATTGAGCCCTTATGAAGCTACAGGAATAGTGGTAGATGGTGAAGCGGTGGGTGCACAGCCTAGTGGGGGATACAGACCAGGAAACAGCAATTGACACTTTGGAGTGATGTGCGCTCTCATGAGGAGCACCGGGCCATCAGGACACAGAGGGACATCCAGTCCTGTCTTGGGAGGTCAGGGAAAGCCTTCTGGAGGAAGTGCCGGCGTAGCTCAGAGCTAAGGCTAAGAAGGGCAGGAAGTCTATGCTAGGCTGAGGGAACAGCATGTAAAAAGGAGTGGAGGCAGAGACAATGTGGTGCTTTCATGGAACAAATTCTGTGTGGACAAAATGGAGGGTGAGAGGAGGGCAGGTCGAGGAGCACAGCTCAAGGGTAAGCAAAGGTCAGATCTCGAGGGACGTTGCCAACTCCTGAAGCACCTCGGGCTTAACAAAATTAACCAGAGAGTTAATTAGAAAGCAAAGATTTTAGCAAGATGTAAAAACATTTGGACAGCCAAAGTGAGGAGTTTCTGGAAGGGATTATCTACAGAGGCTATGAAGTCCTTTTTGGAAGGCCTAGAACAGGTAATCCTCTACTTTGTACTGTTTAGAGCAGGGCCGGCCACCTTTCACAGGTGACAACACTGGGGATCACTGTTCTGCTGCTCACACAGGAGTGAGATGTGGAAAGAGAGCACATGTTACTGTTTGATGATCTAGGGAATGTTTGTCGTGAGTCTTCAGGTTTATTTCCTTGGAACAATGTTGAGGGAAGTACTATTATTACCCCCATTTAACAGACGAGGAAACTGAGGCTTAGAGGGCTTATGTATCTCTCCCAAGATCACAGAGCCTGGCAGTCTGCTCTGGATCGGGCTCCTGTACATCATGTTGCATTGTATCCTGCTGCTATTCCCATAGGTGACAGTGAAGAAAGTGAGTTGCGGTGTCTGCCTTATGTGAATCAGCGAATGGATCAGCCAGTCAACAGATATGCACGGAGCACCTCCCTACATACAGGCAGAATCTTAGGCACAGAAGGTACAGCAGCAAGGAAAACAGAAGCAGGCTGCTGGATCTTACTCTTCAATGAGGAGGACAGGTTTTATGCACCAACTGTAATATAGTCATCAACTAATGAATTAGATGCGTAAAGAAATACAGGACGTTATGGGTATTTAAAACAGGAGGATGTGACTTATCACAAAAGTATGTTAGCCTCTTATTTCCACATTCAGTTGCTAGATGATATTGCAAAGTCCATTCCAACTCCATTGTTCTATGATCCTATGATAGACTCATGAAAAAAATAAATGAGTAATGCCCACTGTTTTTAAAAATTAGGTAGTCTTCAGTTTAAGGAAATAGATTTCCTGGTTTCCATCTCTGCAGTTATGCTAAGAAAACTGGTGCACTCATACTGGTCATGGTATTTAACCAGCATCAGCTGATAAGGACATAGTTTCTACAGTCATGACTATAGACCTCCTTCCGTCATATGTAATATTGTGGTGCTTTGTTTCTCTGTATGATAATATGGATTATTTTGGTTCTGAGAAATGGTACAGCAGAGCATCTAAGAACAAGGGTCCTAGACTATCTGCATTCATTTCCTGGTGCCACAAGATTATGTGAATGTGGGCAAGTTATTTAACTTCTGTGCCTCAGTTTCCTTATCAATAAAATGGGGATAATAGTACTGGCCAGGTGTGGTAGCTCATGTCTGTAGTCCCAGAATTTTGAGAGGTCCAGGCAAAGGGATGACTTGAGGCCAAGAGTTTGAGACCAGCCTGAGCAACACAGAGAGACCCCCGTCTCTACAAAAATAAAATAAAATAAAACCAATTAGCCAGGTACTGTGGCATGTGCCTGTAGTCCCAGATACTCGGGAGGCTGGGGCAGGAGGATGGTTTAGCCCAGGAGGTCGAACCTTCAGTGAGCCATGACTGTGCCACTGCACTCCAGCTTAGGCAACACAGTGACACCCGGTCTCAATAAAAATAAATAAATTTTTAAAAAATAATAGTACCTACCTCACAGTGTTATTGAGAGGATTATGCAAATTAATACATCTAAATGCAGCCAGGCATGGTGGCTCACGCCTGTAATCCCAGCACTTTGAGAGGTCAAGGTGGGTGGATCACGAGGTCAGGAGTTTGAGATCAGCCTGATCAACATGGTGAAACCCCATCTCCACTAAAAATACAAAAATTAGCCGGGCATGGTGGCACGTTTCTGTAATCCCAGCTACTCAGGAGGCTGAGGCAGAAGAATCACTTGAACCCGGGAGGCAGAGGGTGCAGTGTGCCAAGACTGTGCCATTGCACTCCAGCCTAGGCGACAGAGTGAGACTCTGTCTAAAAAAAAAATAAAAATAAATAAAAAATAAAAAAATAGAAATCTAAATGCATGGAACTGTGTCCCTGGCACACAGTAAGGATTCCATGAGGACTGGCTGTAGAAGCACGTGTCAGACAGCTCCAGCACTAGCCTTGCTTGCTGTGCATCACATTCAGTCCCTGTGACATAACACCGTTGCTGTGTATTATGCTTCTGGTGATGGATCTCAAGGGATTTTTCTCTTTAAAACTCCAGTTTTAAAGATGTTTAATCACGACTTAGGCACAGTGGAGAATGGCCAAACCACAGTTTAGGGAATGGGATTAAGAAACGTCAGTACTCACATGATGAAACATTTGAACAATTGCTGAAAGATGATGAATAAGGTAAAACTCAGAGAATTAAATTATTTTAGACCTTCTGAAAAAGCTGTAATTTCTAGCCTCAGCAAATTTCCTTTTTTTTGAGACAGAGTCTCACTCTGTTGCCCAGGTTGGAGTGCAGTGGTGCGATCTCGGCTCACTGCAACCTCAGTCGCTTGGGTTCAAGCCAAATTTCCATTCTTAAATGGCTGTAGAAGCAATATCACCCATTAAAGAAAAGACTGATGTTTTAAGTGGAACCTAGAAAGTACAAAGGATTTAGAAACACACTAGAGGAAATGAGTTGCTCTGGCTGAGAAAAATGTTTTTGAATCAGAGAAACTCTAAGAGTGTGTATATATAAGGGTAGAGCCTGAAGATGTGGCTCTTATAAGAGTTTTAATTATGTTGCACCATTTACACCTGAAAAGACTATCTTAAAACATCCCCTTTCTCCCCTTTCTGGATGGAAACCATATGTGGAGACAAATAGGAGGTTATGTTTTGCAAAATCATGAGCCTGGAAAGCTGTAATACTTCACAGAAACAAATCTAATGGTCAAAATAGAACATGATACTGAAGAACCCCATTGTACTGGGCTTGTGTGCTTGGAAGCTCCATTGTGTTTGTGGTCCAGGTCAACACACTGGGACAAAATGAGTGTGAAGTGCCCTTTCATCAGTAATCATCTGCACACAAAACATGCACCTCTTTTCCTCCCCATTTGATAGAAAGGTTACACAGAAAATGAGTACACAACTCTTTTGTTACTGTTCAGACAGCAGATGCGGGGTCTGCTCTTTAGATGCCTAGGTTAGAAATGGAGGCAGCGAGGAAGGGAGTGGGGGACGGTTTCACATGCATATGCCATGATATTTGCTGGCTTTAATGGACCATATTTGAGTGCTTACTGTGATAACTTCAAACAAAATAAAATAAAATCTCCATTTAATGAAGAGCTTCATATTCAACATTGTATTCAATCAAAAAATTACTAAAATTAGAGCATGTTTCTAGTACAATTAACATCCCTTGCACTCACAATAAAATATTCAATAACTGGCCATTTTGCCTGTTGAGGAGGTGAATAAAAGCATTGCTATTAATCATTTAGCTGTTATTTATTTGTCACTTCATTTTAAGTAGGCAGTTAAATTGAAACTGCACATGTTATTATTGATTTAGGTTTAATTTAATCCTTTTAAACAGAATAATTATTCCCAATTTATATGCCATTAAATCTTTTATGCATATGAACAGCAAATTCAATTTTTGTTTAAGTGTAAAGTTTTTAATGCTTCTTTAAAGAACTATAAAACTGATCATTGCTTCCAAGGATTTCTGAATTCTATGCTCGCCTTAATCTTCTTATCAACAGCTTTTAAGTAAATAAAATGAAATAAATCCGAAAGATTAAAAATTCACTTTTGTAAATATGAAATAAAACGGTTCCACAAATATACTGAAATGCTTTGTGAAGGTTATTTGCAATCCAGAAAATTTTATTTAATGCAGGCATTTATTTTGCTAAGAATTTAAGCGTTTGAATAGAAAAAAGGATGATTTAATGAAATGAAGGTCAAAGACTGTCTATAGAAACACACTAAAGGGGCTGGATTGTTATTTAGTGAATTTTATTTATAAAAATACACAATTTGGATAATTCCAACTGAAGTGCTTTTTTTTCTTTGATAACAGATTTGTGACTGCAAAACACCAGATATTTCTCCTGGGTTCTTAATGGTACCAGTCTTGATTCAAGAACAATCTGTGAGTTAAATGAAAATTATCTAAAGAAGACATGTTTGTAATTGCAATGTAAAATTCTAGTACCTCACTTCTATTAAGATTATGTCATGTGAAACCAAGGCTGCATCTTCACAAGGGAAATGCTGTATGACACAGTATTCAGAAACATAATTCCTCTCATTCAATGAGAGTTTACAGTGCTCATGCCAGACATTTTCTAAGGAAGGCTCGAGTGTTTTTTTTCATTCTCCAAAATAATAGCTAAGAGACAGAGACCTAGATTTATAAAATGTGCAGGTTCTTACACTTTCTTTAGGTAGAGTTTCTTCTTCTTCTTTTTATGTTTTCTGTTTTGTTTTGCTTTTTGGTTGCTTTTTGAGATGGAGTCTTGCTCCATCCCGGAGTGCAATGGCGCCATCTTAGCTTACTGCAACTTCCGCCTCCTGGGTTCAAGCGATTCCTGTGCCTAAGCCTCCTAAATAGCTAGGATTACAGGCCCGGCTAATTTTCATTTTTAGTAGAGACGGGGTTTCACTATATTGGCCAGGCTGGTCTCGAACTTCTGACCTCAAATGATCCGCCCGCCTCAGCCTCCCAAAGTGCTGGGATTATAAACGTAAGCCACCATGCCCAGCCAAGTTTCTTATATTTTAAATGCCAGATTTAGCAGCATTAAAATTGCAAGGCAGCTGTGATATCATAAGAAGGCAATGGAGTGGTCTTGACACCTGGGTTCTAGTCCAAGTGTTGCCACTAACCAGTCACGTGAGCTTGGGCAAGTCTTTCCACCACTCTAGGTCTTGGGTTCCTCCTCTGTACAATAAATAAAGGGAATGGGCTGACCTTTCTGAGCCCTAACAATTCTAATAATCCATTACTTTATTAGTTGGATTGGGTCTATCAGGCAAAACCTAGCAATATATGGAAGTGTTGGGAAAATCATTTATTTTTAATTCCATATATTAAAAAATTACATTAAAGTTTTCTATATTTTCAAACTTGTCAGGGAGTAGAAATAAATGAAAAGGCAAAGGTCATGAATTAAAGCATCCCTTTAGGAATTTTGTTACAATCTTCTTGATCCTCTTGATAAACTCACAGCTTTGTATGTCATTTAAATTTGAATAAATCACACTCTGTGAGGTTTTGAACTCATGTATGTACTTATTTTAACACAATAATGCATCCTAGTTTTGAAATAACCTAGAAAGGAACTAGTGGTTGTCTCCGGGGGCAACAAGCCTCAGGAGTCACTATGGCGTTAGCATTTCTGGCGGGGACTCAGCCTTTAATAGCCACAATTCATGCCCATGCACACCCTTTACTTCCCTCTATGACTGCTCATCTGTTACGATGGCACCATGCCTGCTCTGAGGAGCGTGTCGGGGTTTAACTAAAGCATAGTTTGTGAGTAAATGAATGAACAGAAAACAGAAATGACTAATACCTGCAACAAAAAGTCACTCCTCTGATATAACTATTCCCATGTGATCAGAAACAAATAAGTGCTAGTAGCTACTCCCAGAGTACTGCATGGAAACTTCTAGAACATGGCAGGTAGTGTAATGTATTGGAAGAGGATGACAAAACAATGGCCTGAAATTGAAAATCTAATAAAAGGCAACAGAAAATAATGTGGATGAATGTTGCTAGAAATCAATGGGAATGAAAGTTGACTCCTGAAAGCTCCTAGAATGTTCTCAATAGTCCTAGCATATTAGACCTAACTTCAGATGCTTCTTTAATCTCCTACCCAGTACGAAAAACATCTCTACACCACCTATGGAGAGGCGGTAGTCTAGTCTCAGCCTAAATATTCCCGATGCATTCTACAAAACAGCCTGAGAAATTTGGGGGAAATGAAAATCCTGAGTTTTGGTCTTCCCTAAGTCTTTCTCTACCTGTGGTATCTTTTGGTTATCCAGTGCCACTCTTCAAGCCCTAGAAGTCATCATTCAATACTTCACCTGGCTTTCGTATTATTAATCAGAAACAACACACATGAAAGCATCTGAGATTAACAATTATATACAACAATAAAAATGCAGATTATTGTCCGGGCACGGTGGCTCACGCCTGTAATCCCAGCACTTTGGGTGGCCGAGGTGGGCAGTTCACGAGGTCAGGAGATCAAGACCATCCCGGCTAACACGGTGAAATCCTGTCTCTACTAAAAATACAAAAAATTAGCCAGGTATGGTGGCATGTGCCTGTAGTCCCAGTTACTCGGGAGGCTGAGGCAGGAGAATTGCTTGAACCCGGGAGGTGGAGGTTGCAGTGAGCCAAGATCGCCCCACTGCACTTCAGCCTGGGCGACAGTGCAAGACTCCATTTCAAAAAAAAAAAAAAAATTGCAGATTATTAGGAGCCCCTTTTTTTCACTTTCAGACAATTCTGAATACTCAGTTTAGTAATTCCTCATGTGCCTATCTCCCTCCTATTAATTTCTAATACAAGGTGGTTTCTTAGACAGAATATGGGCCCTTTTGTGGAGGTTATGGTCTGAGGTGATCAGAGAGGAAAGTACTGCAGACCTCACTGCATGAAAACATTTGTTTCCCAGGACAAGTGCGGAAGAATATGGCTACCATGAACTCCCAGCCCAAAGGAAAATATAATTAATGTCTATCTACTCTAAGGACACAATATCCTCTAAAAATGTTTATTACTTTCCTAAAGCTTATCATTTTACATGCATATTTACTCTGGCCTCAGTTTAATCTGTATTGAAATTGTCATAGTTTTAATTTTTACTAGATAGTGAAATAGAATCCTTTATCAGCTCAATCCTTGATTACCTATCTAGATACGTGTAATTAGTGGCTCAGACTTTGGCGTTTGGAGAGAGGTCAATTTAATTTCCGGTTCTACTATCTAGTAACTACATATACCTATGCAGCTCTCAGATCCTCAGTTCCTTATCTGCAAAATGGGGATAATAATGCCTATCCAAGAGGCTCTTGTAAGGATAAATGAGATAAAGCAAAGAGTTTTACAAATGGTAGCTAATTATATAAATATTCCTGTTAACAAACCCTTATTAAACACACACATAAAGTACTGTATGGCTGCTCTCTGATTTTTTTTTTTTTTTTTTTTTTAATATACAAGGTTTCAGAAGTCCCCAGGACTGAAGAGGTTGTTTCTAATGCTCTAGGAATTACACAGATCTCTTTCTTCGTGAGTGCTGAGTGTCATAAGGCCAGTTCTGGAGTGGGGTTTAAGGATTATCACGTGAAGATCCCCTCTCCACTCTTCATTTATTCGCTACAGTCAATGCTGCTCCAAATTCCATTAAGTAAAAGGTTTTCTCTCATCCATATACATTGAACTATGGCTTGACTTTGGTCAGATACAAGGGAATAATTGCTTTGAGGAGGTTCTAGTAACATCAAAACACAAGTGTAGGACTCAAGTGATTTGTCAGGCAGCTTTTAAAATTATTGATTATAAAAGCAAGAAGAAAGAAATTTTCCTTGGTTTTAAGGCAAGCTTTGACTGTGTGTGTTTTTTTTTTTTTTTTTTTTTGAACTACAATTCCCAGAATGCCATCTACTTTATAGAAATAAAAGCTTACTTGAATTTCATATTGAGAGTCTGAGATCAACTTCCTTGTCTCTTTCATGGCTCATAAACTACTCAGATCCAAGCAAGAGTATGCCTAGGAGAGGCTTCGAAGACTAACATGAGGCAGGGAAAGGGACCAATAATGAAACGCTCACCTGAATAATATTTTCGAGGCATTATTTGTCTAATTGCTTCCGTTCTGTTTTCCTTTTTACTGGAAAACTGGTTATCCTATAATGTTCAGTGTACGAAGCACTATATAGCCAAACAATGACTAGGGCTATAACCTATTCTAACCCGAGGGTTTATAGTTCATCATTTAAAAAGTCCAAGGCAAATCAATCTGAGGAAAACAGCGTTATTTGATGATCTCCGAATCAGAACCAAGAATCTAACCATAATTTTGATTTTTATAAGCATTATTCTTACTTTGAACTATATTAGATGGTATTTAAACTGTACTTTTGTAAGAACAAGGGTTAAAGTCAGGTCCCCGAGCACTGGACAAAAGGAAGAAAAACCCAACAACTGGGGAAATGAGGTCACTTAATGGATCCTTACCTTGGTTTCTTCATCTTAAAAACACAGACAAAAATACCTATCCATTGCAAAAGATTTTTCCTTTCCAGTGGCCCCATTTCTATAACTAAAACGACTCCCATTTATTACCTAGGAGACTATAAATCTCTTAGAGCCAGGATAAAAACAGGGTTTGGAGCCGTGGAGTCAGACTGCCTGAGTTTTCTGCTCCACCACTCACTAGATGCAACAAATGGGTATAATATAAACTTTTAAAGCCTCATTTGCAACCTTCAAAATGGGATCATGATAGCATCTACCACGGCTGCAATAAAGATTAAATGAGATAATACATGTAAAGTGTTTAGCACAAATGGGCTCATGATATGCATTCTATAAATGCTAGCTGTTGTTAGAGGAACCCTTAATCTTTGGCTTCTCTTGTTCCTTCAATCCTCGTATCTAATCTGTCACCCAACCCTATCAATTATTTCATTTATATACATAAAATTTCAGTTAAAGTTTTGTCTGAAAAACAAAAAAACAAAAAAACAAACTGGGGCCGGGAGGGGTGGCTCACGCCTGTAATCCTAGCACTTTGGGAGGCTGAAGTGCACGGATTGCCTGAGCTCAGGAGTTCGAGGCCAGCCTGGGCAACGTGGTAAGACCCATTCTCTACTAAAAGTGGAAAAAATTAGCCGGGCATTGTGGCGCACGCTACTCGGGAGGCTGAGGCATGAGAATCGTTTGAACCCGGAAGGTGCAGGTTGCAGTGAGACAAGATCGTGCCACTTCATCCTAACCTAGGCGACAGAGCAGGACTGTCTCCAAAACAAACAAACAAACAAACAAACAAACTAGGAACATCCCAAAGTCCACCCTTGGGTGACTGAATAAATATATCATGGCACCTCCAGATACTAGAATACTATGTACCATGTCCATATGTACTATGAACATATAAATATAATCATTGCTCAGCTATCTGTGAGGGAGTGGTTCCAGGACTCCCTGCCGATACCAAAATCCAGAGATGGGCAAGTCCCTTTTATAAATTGGAGTAATATTTGTATATAGCCTATGCACATCCTCCTATATATTTTAAATTATCTCTAGATTATTTATAATACCTAACACAATGTAAATACTATGTAAATAGTTGTTATACTATATTGTTCTGGAATAAAGCCAAGAAAAAAAGTCTCTGTACATGTTTAGTACAGATTCAACCATCCATTTATTCCCCAAGTATTTTTGATCTGTGGTTGGTTGGATCCACAGATGCGAAAGCCATGGATACGGAAGACCAACTCTACAGAAAGAGACCCAAAATACACATGGGTATTTTGTTAAATGAAAATAACCAGTTGCCAAAGAGGATGTCTAAATCGATCTCATTTGGTTAAAACCATGTAAAAAGATTCTCAGGCTCACAAGTTATCAGAGAAAAGTAATTTAAATCTATAATAGGACAGGATTTTATAACCCATCAGAATGGCAGAAGTTAAAAGACAGTAATTCTGAGGACTGGTAACTTGTAGGCACTTGTGGGTAAAGTTGAAGATGTCCATCTGCCCATGAACCACAGTTCCACTCCTGGGGACTTAGACCCTAAGGAAACTCTTGCATGCACACCCAAGGAGGCATACGATGACGGGCACAGAGCATTGTCTGAAATAACGAAAACTGGAAAAAAACTAAATATTCGTCAATATTCAACCAAGACCATGTCTTAGTTCAAAAGAATGATTGTAAAATCCCAAAAACATAATATTGACTGAGCAAAATGGGCATCATACATCCATATATAGATACATATTTATCTACTAATTATAGATTACCCAAGAAATAAATGAATGGAAGATTGGTGAGAAGGATGCACACTCATGTAAGAGTATGTATTGATTACCTCTGAGGGGGAAGAAAGGGGAATGAGTTTGAGAAGGGGTACATGGAAACTTTATCTGTAATATAGTATGAATTTTAAAAATATGTCTGAAACATATATGGCAGTAAGGGTTCTACTGTATTTTTCTCTGTACTTTTTTATAAGTTAGAATTTTTGCATGATTTAAAAAAAAAAACAGCATCAGTAACAAAACAAGGACATCCTCCAAGCACAATAACCTTAGACAAGTTTCTTCATCTCTGTTAGCCTCATTTTCATTATCTGTAAAATAGGAAAAGCAACGCCTTCCCTACAGGATTGTGATGGAGAATTGAGTGAAACTAAGATAGGCTCTTAAAAAGTGATGTCATTGTTATTGTTGTCATATCCATCCAACAGTCTCTCTGTCCATTGTGTGTTTAGTCTCTAATTCAAAATGCACCAGCTTGCATAATAATCGTCCTTAAACACTGCTGCATCTCACTGCCCTCCCCAAGAACCTGTATTCTCTCTGCCTGGCTTTCCCAGCCCAGTCCAATCAAGGGTGTCTGTCTCTCTGAAGCTGTCCGGATGCCTCTTCCGCCTCTAGCACCTTGGTGACAGCTCTTAGCACTTTTGCTGTGACATATCACTAAGACACTTATGAGATTGATTCAACTAGATATCCCCAGTGAAAAAAAGGGAGGGGAAGATGAAAGGAAAGAAGAAAAAGAAAGATAAGAAAGAAAGAAAAGACTCAGGACTGGGCTCTACTTCTGGTTCCCACACGAGCCCTTGCAGTGACTCTATCCTGAGGACAAGTCATGTGAGTTCTGTAAGACTCAATATCCTCATCTGTGGTAGGATGGTTACACTTCATGACCTGAAAATGTATCTTCCAATACTATGAGCACATTTTTAAGACTCCCTTATAATCAGACTCCTACTCAGTCCATTTTCCCTACACTCAAATCCTCCGCAAGCCAGCTGGGCTCCCGAAAGTGCCGCAAACATGTCACTCCCATTCTGTTCTATTATCCAGATCTTAGCTTGTTTTCAAGACCCTGCCCAAGTTCCAGGCCTTCCAATAAATTTTCCTTAATATATTTCAGCCTGAATTAAAAAAAAAAAAAATCGGCCGGGCACAGTGGCTCACGCCTGTAATCCCAGCACTTTGGGAGGCCAAGGCAGGTGGATCACAAGGTCAAGAGATAGAAACCATCCTGGCCAACATGGTAAAACCCCATCTCTACTAAAAATACAAAAATTAGCTGGGTGTGGTGGCACAAGCCTGTAGTCCAAGCTACTCAGGAGGCTGAGGCAGGAGAATCGCTTGAATCCGGGGGGCGGAGGTTGCAGTGAGCTGAGATCACACCACTGCACTCCAGCCTGATGACAGAGCGAGACTCCTCCTCTACCACACACACACGCAAACAAAAACTAACACAATATAATTTATAAGGAGCCAGTCACTATTCTAAACAATTTAGATATATTTATTTTAGCCTTATTATAACTGGTTAACTATTATTATTATCCCATTTTTACTGATGAAGAAACTGAGGCACAGAAACATTAATTGGACTTGGCCAAGGTTATACAGCTAGTAAGTGGCAGAGCCACTATTTGAACCCAAATGGTCTGCCTCAGACACCATGCACTTCACCACCACACTAAAACCTCCTAATCAATAGCTTTTACCTTCTTCTGTACTCTATCATATCCTCAGTGCCTCAGTTGTAACAGAGTGGTATCACCACATTATTTTACATCCCCGTACTTTTTTTGGTAGCTCATAGCACAAGGTTAAATCCCTTAAATTCTGGTTATTAGATTAAATCTTTATATGATCATACAAGCCCTGGGAGGTAGACCTCTACTAGCTCTGAATGGGCCAAGTAAGATTCGATCCCCAATTATTTGTACTTTATTGACATTCATAGCAATCCTGTGAGATAGGCAAGTCAGGTTGTTTGACAGATGAGAAAAAGTGAGCCAAAAAAGAATTAAGTGGGTCAGGCATGGTAGCTCATGCCTGTAATCCTAGCACTTTGGGAGGCTGAAGTAGAAGGACTGCTTGAGGCTAGGAGTTCAAGACCAATCTGGCCAACATAGTGAGATCCCATCTCTATTATAAATATTTAATACTATATAAAATTTTTTAAAAAATAAAAAAAGAGTTAAGTGATTTATTCCAGATTATACACTAAACAGTAATGCCTGGACCAAATCGAGTCCACCTGACTCCACATCCTTTTCTATACCAGGCTTTCGGGAATTTCTCCCAGGTGAGGTCCTAGTCTGGAGACACTTGGAATATGGACAGGAAATAAATGGTATGAGAAATGCAAATCCCCTGATTAATACCCACTGCACTTTTTAATTTAAAAATATCTGAATATGGAAAAAAGATGGTGCCCAGCTCTCCTTGGCTGCTTGGAGACCCGTCTCACACACATGGCGCTCATTAGGGCAGCTTGCCCTTACTCTCATTTGGAATGACACCAGTAATTATTTAACTGTATATTTTACAGCCCATTATTATCTTACACAAGCCAATTCCTCACCTGTTATTGGCGCCCTGGTCCCAGGTATGGTGGTTTTGCTCGCGAGCCATCCGAGCTGCTTTTCCACTTGCTTCCTCTCCTGTCTCGTGCAGGCTTCCCCGTCGAGGGCTTTCCTCGTCTAAGCTGTCGCGCTCCATATCATCCCGGATTCGATCATCAAACTCAGAATGGGACATCATCTCTTGAGTGAGGCTTTCTGAATCAGATTCCAAGGAGTCTTTTGAAATCCGATGTAAGTCTTCTTTCTTCAAAGGTGGGTGTGTGGGCTGGACATTTAAGTTGGTATGACGGACAGGAGACTGAATAGAGAGCTTGGGAATTAGTTTACTTTTACTCATCTTGAAAAATGCAAAAAATTAACAGGGGGATACTCTTGTTGATAGGAGCAGCTGGCTGATATTTAAAGTTGTGGTTCACAAAGGCGTTACCTGAAAAAAATTATATGTATGTTACTCTGCGACTACTGAAATCTCAATGTCAATGTTAAACAAATATTTAAATGAGTAAGAAAACCTTGTTCTATTATCTGCAGGCTTTTGTATGCACCCTTTTGTGTGTATAAGAAAGGTCTATTAGAAAAACAATTGTTTTTCTCTCTACAGAAACACATCTGATGTGGCGCTCATAAGCAGCCTGGGTAATCGAATGCAGTTTTATTGATGAAATAAATGGCTGCTTGGGAAGTGGATTCTATTTCTAACTTCCAATAAAGTTAGAAAAGGCTTGTTCCAGACAAACCTTGACTAAGACAAATGGTTAATTATGGACAGTACTTGGATAGCCTTATTTCAAATGCCCAGGGCAACAATATAAATATGGCCCATAGTTATTCATGGATAGAGTAAACCAGGTTCAGGGGCTATCTTTTGGAAAGTAAAGTAAGAAAAAGAGTGTGGTTTTCCATAGTTGGAACTGTAAATGGGGAAGCTGTTTTGTTCCTAGACCTATCTGGGCTGGCAACATCATTTGGAAAAGACTTTCCAGGTTGTGACTAGATAGGAACATATAATTTAGGTGGACATAAATGGAGATCAACCTCATCCAGTATTTTTTTAAAACCCATAATAACGATTAAAATTGTTCAACAATCATGCCTGTAATACCAGCACTTTGGGAGGCTGAGATGGGCAGATCACTTAAGTCCAGGAGTTCAAGACCAGCTTGGGCAACATGGTAAAGCCCCGTCTCTACAAAAAAAAAAAAAAAAAAAATTAGTGGGCATGGTGGGATGGGCCTGTAGTCACAACTACTCAGGAGAGTGCGGTAGAAGGGTCACTTGAGCCAGGCAGGCAGAGGCTGCAGCGAGCCAAGACTGTACCACTGCACTCCAGCCTGGGTAACAGAGGGAGACCCTATCAGAAAAAAATAAATAAAACTATTCAACAAAAGATTTAGTGGCCTTGTGAATTCTGCCACTGAGCGATTCAAAGTGGAGCCTGGAGGTCTACATTACGGAATGGGATGCTATCCTGGGGAAAGTTGAGTGGGTGGGAGATTGGCCTGAATTACAGCTAGGAGTTAGCTGGAGTCCCTTCCAACTCACTTATGAGTATGATTCAAGTGAATCTTCGCTGTCTCTAAGGGACATTATAAAGACCCATGGAAAGGGTGCTTTGAGTTCATATAGGACCGAACGGACATGATGTTTTTGGATTGTGCTTCCTTTCATCTCTACCTAGCATTTCTATTTTGGTCTATTTTCTATCTCACTGCCTTTATACTCATTTTTTTTTTCCTGTGAGTCAGGTAACAGAAACCTTTACCAGTAGAAATTAGTGTAAAATTTGTCTTAATGGCTTGCTCTTGTTCTTTTGGCAAATCCTAACTTTAATTAAATGACACAACCTAATTACTATTCCTAGGACTGCTTATAATGTTGACCTTGTTGCTAATGTTTCCAAGGAACATCATCAAATCCTCGGAGGAAAGCACCTTAACAAACAACAGGCAAAAGGGAACGTTCATATGGAAATACACATGCAGTGAGTTTTCTGTTGAATTTGAAGTCTGTGCTGTTGGTAGACTAACATAGTATTCTCTCATTTTACAGATTGGTTTGTTGTATTATTTTGTCTCTTATTTTTAAAACACACACTGCATTCTGCCTTATTATTTTAACTGTTGCTTTTTTAGGATGTGCCAAGAAAGCAGCAAATCTATCAAATACTAACACATTTTAACTAAAAGAGTTTCACATCAGTTTTACTGGAAGAGCTAAGGTCACTGAATTCGAGATCCTGACGGGCAAGCTTAGGCGTTATAGTGCAACTTAGAATTACTCTTAAAATAATTCAGCCCCTTGAACTTCGCTTCTTAAATGAAACAGGCTAAGCTTTCTTGGAATGAATAAATAATAAAACAGTAACCACAGAAGATAATTTTGTTGATGTTAGCGGATTCCTGAAGTTTGCTAAAGTATGCAAAGAGCAAAGCCGAATGCCACAAAAGCTGGGTTTTCTGTGGAGGCCTGATCTTACGAAAACATGGGGTTGAAGAAGGAACAGCTGACAGCTTGAATAAGTTAGAAAGTGGGCGCTTAAATTTAATGAATGTGGCTCCCTCCTTCCGTCCAGTGGAAAAAAAAAAAGGTTGTGCCGCTGAAATTTCTTACCAAGAGAAGTGACCAGTCTCCTGAATAAACAAGACAGGGATAGATCCCATGGCACCTAGGGACTAAGAGGCGGCCAGCTCCCCAGGGATCCCTGCAGTGGGTCTAGTCCACTAGGATGGGACAAACGAACTTCCTCCTGGAGGGGAAAAGGAACCCTGCTTGGGCTCACCAAGATGAATCGTAAAGAAAAAGGAACGAACCCTGGTTTGAAACAGGCCGGAAGCTGCCCAGTAGAGGCGTTCGGTTTGTTTTTTACCTTTGCTTGTTCCTGAGGAACAAGACCCGTCACAAGGGGCGTTTGGAGGTCCAGGAAGTGACGAGTCGGCGGGCCTGGTGCCCCCGACCGGTCCTAATTGACCGGGAACAGGGCTGCTCTGGGTGCCCGGGCGCCGAAGCCTCGGATCACAGCCCCCCAGCCCCTTGGTGCGGCCTCGCCCCCTTGTCGCTCCCCACTCCGTCCCGAAGGCTCCGGCGCCGGCTCCTCCCCAGCTTGCTCGGGTGGTTTCCTGCAGTCCCTATCCCCAGTCAGCCCTTCCCGTTTCCCTCCCCGGGCGCGCCGCCCACCCCGGATCCGGGGGGCCACCGCCCGTCACCTGCCCGGCGCTCGTCCGCGGCCAAGACGCGGGCGGCCCCGCATCCTCCTGCGCCGCCGCCGCCGCCGCCGCCGCCCGGGCCCCCGCCCCCCGGCGCTGCCCTGGAGACCGCAGACAACACAGACGCCGGCCTCCACTTGGGCGGAGCAGGACCCGACCTAGGATCCCGCGTCCCGAACCGCACCCCTGGCCCTGGCACGGAGGCTGCAAACGGCCGTAATAACGACATCGGGGCAGAGCTGGAGGAGCCCTAGCGCCCCGGGAGAGGCTGCCTCGCCGCCGAACTTCCAGCGCCGGAGGGCAGAGGCCGCCCGGGGCAGGAGATCTTTGCCACAAGTAAAACTACTAGGATACGCGAGGAACTACTACAAATCAAGAAGAAAAGGAACCCAATTAAAGAATGGGTACATGGAAAGGTATTTCACAAACACACGAGAAATCTAAATGGCCAATAAATATCTGTTTATCGAAATGGTGCTTTAATTCATTAGTAATCAGAAGATGGCCAATTAAAACCACAGCGGATAATACCACACTCACCATAAGTTGAGTGGAAAAGTCCAAAGCTGAAACGTCTGGCAGCGTCAGGTGCTAGGGAGGATGTCATGCAAAGAAGCCTCACCTGCGGGCGGACGTGAGAACCGATGCAACCAACCATTTTGGAAAATGGTTTGACATTAGCCAGGATATGTATACCTTGGGATCCAGCAATTTCACACTTAGGTATTTTCCCTAAGAAGTGAGTGCTCCTGTGCATGCAAACTGGAAATAACTGAACTATCCATCAACAATAGAATGGTTAATTAGATTATGGTATTCCCTATACTGGCCTACTACACAGCAATGTAAATGAATGAAATACAACTACGTGTAACAATATGGAGGCATACTAAAAACACAATTTTGAACAACAAAAACCCAGAAAAAATACATACTGTATGATTTTTGTATATAAGTTAAAGACAGTCTAAATTACACTCTACAATGATTATGGCTCCATACTTAGTGGAGGAAACTATGAAAAAAAGCAAAAAAGCAATTGTTTGGGAATCACTACCCACTTAGTGATTTCCATGAAGTTTGGAGGATTGTGGTCGGTTCTGGCAGGTAGGGAGAAGAATGTTTTTGAGATTGTATCTCCTGACCTTAATGGTGGCTATATAGATGTTCATCTTGTAAAAATTCCTTAAGCTGTACATTTATGTATGGGTAGAATATTTCACTATCAAAAAAGGTTTCAAAAAAACATAAAGAAAGGAAGCATTAGGAATTATCTTCACATTAAAACAACAAGTAGATTTGAATAACTATCTTCAAAGATTGGTTTGAGGCCAGGTGCGGTGGCTCACCCTGTAATCCCAGCATTTTGGGAAACCAAGTCGGAGGATTGCTTGAGCCCAAGAGTTCAAGACCAGCCTGGGGAACATGGCAAAACCCTGTCTCTACAAAAAATGTTAAAAATTAGTTGGGCGTGGTGGCGCGCGCCTGTAGTCTCAGCTACTTGGAAGGCTGAGGTGGGAGGATCACCTGAGCCCGGGAGGTTGAGGGTGAAGTCAGCCAATATCGTGCCATTGTACTCCAGCCTGGGTGAGAGGGAGACCGTGTCTCAAAAAAAAAGAATGCTTCGACCGGGCACAGTGGCTCATGCCTGTAATCCCAGCACTTTGGGAGGCCGAGGCGGGTGGATCACCTGAGGTCGGGAGTTTGAGACCAGCCTGGTCAACATGGCGAAACCCTGTCTCTACTAAAAGTACAAAAATTAGCTGGGCATGGCGGCATGCGCCTGTAGTCCCAGCTATATGGGAGGCTGAGGCAGAAGAATTGCTTGAACTGGGGAGGCAGAGGTTGCAGTGAGCTGGGATGTGCCACTGCACTCCAGCCTAGGTGACAAAGTGAGACTCCGTTTCAAAATAAAAATAAAAATAAAAAAAGAATGCTTCAATACCAGTTGCCTCATTAATGATAGGAAACATAGGAAATTGGAAAATGTTCTTACTACCCAGCTTTCACACTTTTTATTCTGTTTTTTATTTGAGTTAGTTTTTTTTTTTTTTTTAACTTTTTTGGCAGCAGGAACCTTGTCTTATGGGTGCACAGTAGGACCTCGATGTCTGTAGAAGAAATAAAAGCAAGGTAGCTGAAACCGTTAGTGTTATTCTGCCCAGTATATTATACAAGGTATTATTATAGCAACTGCAAACATGAAAGCAAATTTCAAGCAAAAGGATTTAGTCCTAATAGTGGCTTCCAGAATATGTTATAGAATCAATGCTGAGTCATTCACACTTGTCCACTTTTGATGCTGTGGTTCTTTAGACTCTTCCAATGTTTTCTGCACTATCCAGAAGAGATTTTAACTGGCTTTTCTGAAAATCAGTGGTCCCTACCTGATTGAGGAGTCTGTCAACCCAGCAGCTACTTGCAGAGACTAGTCACACATAGAGCATGGGACACTCTGGGCTTGATCTTCCTCCTTCTCTCCTTGTAATGGCTGTCCTGAGTATTTGGAGTGACTAAAGGACGGAATAATCAACACGAGTAGTAGTCAGGGTCTGTAAGGAGACAGAAACCATGCCAGTTACTATAATGGAAATAATTTAATATGAAGATTTATTAACTGAAAAGTTGAAAAGGGAACACAAGTGTCATAGGGGTAGTAAGCACGGGAAGCAGCTTCCACCTCTATGGCTGGGGATCACAGGAAAGAATTATTTACACTTAGAAGGATTAACACTGAAATTATTAACACTCAGAGCTGGGACCCAGGCCTCTCAAGCTAGTAGGTGCTGGCGTTTTTGAAAAGGAATCATGAAGCTGGTTCTGAGAGTGCTGGGAAAACTAGAATCAGCTACTGCTACTGAAACCAACTGAGCTGCTGGAGTGAACAGACGTTGTCAAGGTGACCTTGAGAGGAAAAGGAAGGAGCAGTCCCTTTTCCAGTCTCCAGGCTTAGGGTCTCCCTCTACTGTCCCCTCCTGGCAGAGTCCCACAAGGAGCCGGCTGGCAAAGAAAAATGAGGCTTGTAGGTGTTGCCCCAGCATTATGATCACAGTATATGAGAGTGAAGCTGAGAGACAATGGTTTAACAAGCAGCACAGTAATGCTCTGCTTTTCAGAATTCTTAAGGATTACAGAGTGCATACAAACAAAATAAAACCGTAAAGTGCATTGTTTTCATCTGCTGTTATGGTAATAATGTTGATAATTTACATATGAATAGCACTTCACAGGGTCTGCAAAGTGCTTTTGCATATATTATCTTTTAGAATTCAGCTGTCAACCTGACCCCAAACTAACCAAAATACACAGAATACGAAAAACAAGTCAAAAAACACTTAAATACATAGGTTAGTAATACTGAACTGAGTTTACTCCTTTTCCACCCCACGCCACCCATTCATGCAACTCCCTTCTTTCTGTTTCCCTGTCCTACACATCACTCATGCTCTGTTCGTGAAATCCTTCCTCTACTCCATTTCCCTTTTTGGTCTTACCCCTCCTGAGTCCACCAGACCTATGCCTAGCTCAGCAGCATCTCCTCCAGCAGGAATTTTGGGACAGTTCCCCACATTGATGCTTCTTGGACTAGGGTGCTTCTCAACCTGGAGCAGTTTTATCCTTCAGGGACAGTTAACAATATCTGGAGACATTTTTTATTGTTATGACTTAAGGGAGTACTACTGGTGTCTAACGAACAGAGGCCAGGGATGCTACTAAACATCCTAAAATGCATAGGACGGTCCCCCCACCCCCCTGCCAAAATTATGTGATCCAAAATGTCAATAATGCCGAGGTTGACAAACTCTGTGCTAGGCTAGTGGCCCTTGGTCTGTGGTCTCAAGGCACCCAACTGCATGCTTCTAGCTTTATACATATGCTTGTACAACATTGCATTGGAATTACATGTTTATATTTATGTCATCTCCTTACTAAACTGTAAGCTCCCAGAGAACCAGAGAACAAGGACAAACGTAGTGAATGGCACCTAATAAATGCTCAGTAAATGTTGAAAAAAAGCCAGAATATCCTTAGACTTTAGTACCTGATTGGGGAGTGGATAAGTAGTCAGTCCCTTTAATAGAACTGGTAAGAGTGGCCAGTCAAACTTTGTAACAAGGATATACTCATATTTGGCATATAACAAGGATGATCAGATAATTTATTAAAATACTGGATAGCCAGGTGTGGTGGCACATGCCTGTAGGCCCAGCTACTCAGGAGGCTGAGACGGGAGGATCATTTGAGCCCGAGTTCAAGGCTGTAGTGAGCTATGATTGTACTACTGCACTGCGGTGTGGGCAACAGAGTGAGACTCTGCCACTAAAAAAAAAAAAAAAAAGAAGAAGAAGAAGAAGAAGAAGAAGAAGAAGAAGAAGAAGAAGAAGAAGAAGAAGAAGAAGAAGAAGAAGAAGAAGAAGAAAAGAAAAGAAAAAAAGAAAAAAAAGCCAACTAGGATACATTCCAGATTTTTTAAAAGGATGCTATTCATTAATTACACTGGGACAATAGGTACACACTGAAATTGTCCTGGGTAGCCAGGGAGTGTAGTCATTCTACATATAACTGTAATAAGTTTAATTGTCTGGTTTCTTCGCATGTAGAATGAATCAGGAGCAGCAAACGGGTCAAGGAAGGCACTCTCACGGCAGAAAGAAGGGACAGTACCAGCAAGAGAAGTAACAGATATATCACAAAAACAAGAGACGTTCAAACAAAGCAACCTGGGTTCATTTGGTGTAAGGAACAGCCTTATCCTTGAATATCCTGTATGAGAATCACAGTATTATGGCAAGATTAATTTTCATAATGATTAACTTTTGGAAACTTTAATAAACATTGACTAGAAAGGTAAAAGTCGGCCGGGCGCGGTGGCTCAAGCCTGTAATCCCAGCACTTTGGGGGGCCGAGACGGGCGGATCACGACGTCAGGAGTTCGAGACCATCCTGGCTAACACGGTGAAACCCCGTCTCTACTAAAAAATACAAAAAACTAGCCGGGCGAGGTGGTGGGCGCCTGTAGTCCCAGCTACTCGGGAGGCTGAGGCAGGAGAATGGCGTAAAAACCCGGGAGGCGGAGCTTGCAATGAGCTGAGATCCGGCCACTGCACTCCAGCCTGGGCGACACAGCAAGACTCCGTCTCAAAAAAAAAAAAAAAAAAAGAAAAAAAAAAAAGAAAGGTAAAAGTCACGTAGCCTATTTTACAAAGACTTTCATCCAAAATATTGAAACATTTAACATCTCAAGAGATAAATCTCAGTTATCCAAAAGAAAAGAATTTACTTAGAATGAGTGGGCTGAGAATTTTAGAGGACCGAAATGGCAATAAATATGTGTTTAAACAGAAAATGAAACTCAACAGACAGAAATATGAGTAACTTTGACACCCTTCTAAAAGAACGAGCCACGTGCTGGTGAAGCCCAGGGGAAGAGAATTCAGCCTGGTTGGGATCAGCTTTGGGAAATAGATGATCTGGAAGGATGGCTCTTAGGAATGCAAATGAACAATTATTATTATTATTATTATTTTGAGACAGAGTCTTGCTCTGTATCCCAGGCTGGAGTGCAGTGGTGCAATCTCGGCTCACTGCAAGCTCCGCCTCCCAGGTTCACACCATTCTCCTGCATCAGCCTCCTGAGTAGCTGGGACTACAGGCGCCTGCCACCACACCCGGCTAATTTTTTGTATTTTTTTTTTTTTAGAAGAGACGGGGTTTCACCATGTTGGCCAGGATGGTCTCGATCTCCTGTCCTCATGATCCACCCGCCTCGGCCTCCCAAAGTGCTGGGATTACAGGCATGAGCCACTGTGCCCGGCCTGAACAGATTATTAATAACAGCCTTTTTTCTCCTTGTTTGTGTCCTTGGTTTTCTTTCTTAAAAATAATTTTAAAACCTTTCATTATGAAAATTTGAAACCATATTCAACAGTAGAGAGAAAAATATAATGAATGGGCACATTGTTCTCACCCATCTTTAACAAAGATCAACATGTGGCCAACCTTGTTTCTATACATACTGTGCTCCTCCCTGGCTAAATCATTTAGAAGCAAATCTCAGCTATCGCATGGTTTAATCTGTAAGTACTTATGATGTGTCCTAAGAGATCATTTTTAAATAACCATGACACCACGATCACATCTAAAACAAAATTAGTAATAACTTCTTAATATCATCTAATCCTCAGCGTTCAGACTTCCCAGACTGTCTCCTACATGTCTTTATAATTGGTTGGTTTAAATTAGGACCCAAACAAGTTGTACAAAGTGATTTTTAAAAGCTAACAGCTCGACTGGGCACAGTGGCTCACACCTGTAACCCCAGAACTTTGGGAGGCCAAGGTGGGCGGATCACTTGAGTCCAGGAGTTCAGGACCAGTCTGGCCAACATGGTGAAACCCTGTCTCTACTAAAAATACAAAAATTAGCTGAGCATGGTGGTGCATGCCTGTAATCCTGCTATTCAGGAGGCTGAGACAGGAGAATCTCCTGAACCCTGGGAGGAGGAGGTTGCAGAGAGCCGAGATTGTGCCACTGCACTCCAGCCTGGGTGACAGAGTGAGTAAAACTCAGTCTCAAAAGAAAATAACAGCTTTATTGAGGTATAATTCACATACCACACAATTCACCCTCTTAAAATGCACAACTGAATAATTTTTAGAATATTCAGAGTTTTCTCAATCATCACTACCAGCTAATTCCAGACTGTCTCCCCAAAGGAAGCCCTGTATCCATTAGCAGTCACCCCTCATTCCCCACTTCCCTCAGCCCTTGGCAGCCACTTATCTCTTTTTTGTCTCTTTGGATTGGTGTATTCTGAACATTTCATATAAACAGCATCATACAATATCTGTTTTGTGAGTGTGTGTCTGGCTTTTCTCACTTAGCATAATGTTTTCAAAGTTCATGTTACAGCATGTATCAGTACTCTTTCTTTTTATTGCCAAACAATATTTCACTTTTTTTTTTTTTTTTTGAGATGGAGTTTTGCTCTTGTTGCCCAGGCTGGAGTGCAATGGCGTGATCTAGGCTCACCACAACCTCTGCCTCCTGGGTTCAACCGATTCTCCTGCCTCAGCCTCCCAAGTAAATGGGATTACAGGCATATGCCACCACGCCCGGCTAATTTTGTATTTCGTATTTTTAGTAGAGACGGGGTTTCTCCATGTTGGTCTGGCTGGTCTCGAACTCCTGACCTCAGGTGATCTGCCCGCCTTGACCTCCCAAAGTGCTGGGATTACAGGCTTGAGCCACCACACGTCGTCTCACTTTATGAGTATACCGCAACTTATTTACCCATTCATCATTTGATGACGATTTAGGTAGTTTTCACCTTTGACTATTATAAATAATATTGCTATTAATATTCCTGTACAAGGTTTTTTTTTTTTTGAGACAAGGTCTCATTGTCAGCTTGAGTGCAGTGACACTATTGTGGCTCACTGCCATCTTGACCTCAAGTGATCCTCCCACCTCAGCCTCCCAAGTAACTGGGACTATAGGCGAGGGCCACCATGCCCCACTAATTCCTTCTTGTAATTTTTTGTAGAGAGGGGGTTTCGCCACATTGCCCAGGCTGGTCTCAAACTCCTGAACTCAAGCGATCTGCCCACTTTGGCCTCCCAAAGTGCTGGGATTACAGGCATGAGCCACCGCACCTGGCTAATATTACTGTACAAGTTTTGTGTGTACAAGAGCATGGCGGCGCGTGCCTGTAATCCTGCTATTTGGGAGGCTGAGACAGGAGAATCTCCTGAACTCTGGGAGGAGGAGGTTGCAGTGAGCCGAGATTGTGCCACTTTTTAGAGTACTAAAAAGTAGGATGGAGTTTCACGATGAGCCACCGCGCCCCGCCTGTGTGAACATATGTTTCAATTCTCTTGGGTATATTCTCTCTAGGAGTAGAACTGCTGAAGCATATGGTAGCCCTATGTGTAACTTTTTGAGTAACAGCAAGGCTGTTTTCCAATGCGGCTGAGCTATTTTACATTCTCACCAGTCATGTCTGAGGGCTGTCATTTCTCTATAACCTTTCCAAACTTTGTTCTTTTCTGTCTTTTTTATGACAGCCATTTTAATGGGTGTGAAGTGGCATTATATTCCAGTTGTGAATTGTGGTTTCCCATCTTTTCTTGTGCTCGTGGCCGTTTTTATTACATAGTTATTTTAATAATATATTTCCAATTTCAGTTTAAAAACTAGTGTCTGAGCAATCTCTAAAGCTGATCGGTACGTTTTTAAAGTGTTGTAAAAACTCATGAGTTTTAATGTATTTAACATGTTTTGATCACTACTCTCTATTATTTATTTACTTATTTTTATTTTTTTAAATTTATTTATTTATTTTGAGACAGAGTCTCGACCTGTCACCAGACTGAAGAGCAGTGGGGTGATCTCAGCTCACTGCAACTTCCGCCTCCTGGGTTCAAGCAATTCTCCTGCCTCAGCCTCCTGAGTAGCTGGGACTACAGGTACACGCCACCACACCCAGCAAATTTTTGTATTTTTAGTACAGACAAGGTTTCACCACGTTGACCAGGATGGTCTTGGTCTCTTGACCTCGTGATCCACCCACCTCGGCCTCCCAAAGTGCTGGCTCCCAAAGGCGTGAGCCATCGTGCCAGGCCCAATCACTACTCTTTTTTAATGCTCAGATGATCCCATCTTTGGCTACTGAAAGTCCCTGTAGGGTGTACACAATTTGGTTTCTGGGCCCTTTAACACAGTCCCAGAAGAGTCTCTGATAGCTTCTTTGCTTTCTAGTATAAAATGTTCTAGCCTCGTTGATGTGGTTTGGATATTTGTTCCCTCCAAATCTCATGTGGAAATGTAATCTCCAGTGTTGGAGGTGGAGCCTGGTGAAAGGTATTTTGATCACAGGGGTAGAGCCCTCATGAATATCATGGCACCAACCCATTGCTAATGGGTGAGTTCTCACTCTGAGTTCACCAAGATCTGGTTGCTTAAAAGGGTGTGGGCCAGGTTGGCAGCTCATGCCTGTAATCTCAGCACTTTGGGAGGCCGAGGTGGGCAGATCACTTGAGCCCAGGAGTTTGAGATCAACCTAGGCAAGATGGCATTTGGGGAGAATAATGACATTTTTGTGGCCTTAGTTTTGGTTTGCTTCTAACTGAAAACAAGACATAGATCAGAAAATGTAGGAAAAAATTAACATTTGGGTTTTTTTTTTAATTTTTTTTTCAGACGGAGACTTGCTCTGTTGCCCAGACTGGAGTGCAGTAGTGTGATCTTGGCTTACTGCAACATCCGCCTCCTGGGTTCAAGCGATTCTCCTGCCTCAGCCTCCCAAGTAGCTGGGATTACAGGCACCTGCCACCACACCCGGCTAATTTTTGTATTTTTGGTAGAGATGGGGTTTCACCATCTTGGCCCAGCTGGTCTTGAACTCCTGACCTCGTGATCCACCCACCTTGGCCTCCCAAAGTGTTGGGATTACAGGTGTGAGCCACCTGCGCCTAGTCTAAAAATTAACATATTTCAACAGGTCTGGAGGAATTATCAATTATAACAAATTTGCTCTTGAACAAATTTGTTCAAAGCAATCATAGGAAGGAAGAGGGCTTCTCTCTTGGAAGGTACAACTTTGAAAAATAGAACTACATTTCATCTAGATCAAAGCCCCATTATATGCCGGGCATGGTGGCTCATGCCTGTAATCCCAGCACTCTGGGATTGTACTTTTTGGTAGAAGCGATTCTCCTGACTCAGCCTCCTGAGTAGCTGGGATTACAGGCATGTACCACCACACCCAGCTAATTTTCGTATTTTTAGTAGAAATGGGGTTTCACCATGTTGGCTAGGCTGGTCTCAAACTCCTGATGCACCTGCCTCGGCTTCCTAAAGTGCTAGGATTACAAGCGTGAGCCATCGCACCTGGTCCAATGAAATAGACTAAACATCACTTCTGTGACAGTCCTATGAGAGTTGTGTAACTTGAATCTAACCACAAGAAAACAGACAAAGCCAAATTGAGGGATGATCTACAAAATAATCAGCCTGTAATCTTCAAAAATATCCAGGTCATGAAAGTCAAGCCAAGACTGAAGAACTGTTCCAAACTGAATGAGACTAAAATGAACTGGATCCTTTGGGACAACTGGAGAAACCTGAATGGAGTCTGAGGACTGTTCGTGGAAGCAGAACAGTGCTAATTTCCCACTTTTGATGGTTGCATTGTATTTTTAAAGGAGAGTGTTCTTATTTGTAGGAAGCACACACTTAAGGCTTTGTGGGGTGATGCGTATTATGTCAATTTACTCTCAAATGATTCCGGGGGACAAGTGCTTTGTTCTATCTTTACACTTTTCTGTAACGTTGTGATTGTCCAAAACATTTTTGTCAAGAGAACAAAAAATCAGCATGGTTGGATCTGGCCCCTGTCACAAATTACAGACTTAGAATGTACACGTGTATTATTTTGTAATCGGTTTATTCAGATTCCAACAATGAGAAATGCTCCACATAAATGCCAGAGTTTGCTGTATAGCTTAAATAAACTGATTGAAAAAGAAAGGCATGTCCCAGTTACTTTCACATATGAAAACAGGAAGTATAACTTAGTATAGCCACTAGAAAAACATATAGTCTGCTTTTTATTAAAAAATTTTAAAAAGCCATCCATTAGGTCAATAATTAGTAAATTAAACCCATCATTTTCTTTTGCACATGTATTTGTCATGGAATCTCCAGGTAAAAATCTTGTCTGACAGACAAGGTCAGCTCAGGTGGTTTAGTAATCTAAGAAATTCGAATATTTGGGCCTACCTTGAGCTCTTCTTTGTGCCTTGGGGCATGGGTCCTGGGGCCTTCATGCCCATCTGACTCATTTGTTGTCATGCATCGCTCCTCCCTGACATTGGTTTGTGCTGGTTACATCTTAAAAGTCTGTCTTAGAAGTAACTTCTTTTTTTTTTTTTTTTTTGAGACAGAGTCGCCCTCAGCCGCCCAGGCTGGAGTATGGTGGTGCGATCTCGACTTACTGCAATCTCCACCTCCCAGGTTCAAGTGATTACCCAGCCTCAGCCTCCCGAGTATCTGAGACTACGGGTGCACACCACTACCCTGGCTAATTTTTGCATTTTTAGTAGAGACGGGGTTTCACCATGTTGGCCAGGCTGGTCTCGAACTCCTGACCTCAAGTGATCCGCCTACCTCAGCCTCCCAAAGTGCTAGGATTACAGGCATGAGCCACCGCACCCGGGCAGAAGTAACTTCTTAGGATCAGGGATCTTTAGGTACTTTGCATCCCAAATTTCTTTATCTTGTGACCAGAAGAAAATATTAAAAAAAAAAATTTTTTTTAAAGCAGTTCCATTAGAGCAAAGCATCTGAAAAATCCTGTTCCATTTGAGGTAAGATGTTAGCTGGTCACACTGACCCTGATCCCCAAGGCTTCGTAGAATCCTCCTGCTCTGAAGTAGTGTCAGACATAATTATTTTTTTTTCTTTTCTTTTTTAAACTACAAGCTTTATGTGCATGGTTTGATCCTCATGTTGCTGCCCTAGCTCTGGGGCAGATCATTATCCAAGGACACCGTCTTGCATTGCACTGTGAGGTCATTGTTAATGTCTCAGCAATTAAGCTCCTTCCCCCGGGCTGGTCCACTGAGGTGACACTGCAGCAACCCTGAAATCACATGTTCTATTGCAGAGAGCACTACACAATAGTCTCTGGTACTTGGGTGTGCTTTTCGTTTAATTTTGAATGTTGTACATTTTCCTTCCTCTTTGTTTTTGCTTCTGAGTACAACTTTGTGATGTAGTTCATGCAACGCACAGGGTGGGAAGCTGAAAGAGAAACATGTTGAAGATGAATATTTATTTTGAATAACATTGCACCCATTTACGTGAAACACTTTGATTGGATATCATATTTTTAGGTTCATAAAGTACTTTATAAAAACCTAAAACTTACTGATGCATATAAATGGTCTGAAGGCATTATTATACTCTTTTTTGTTTTTTGGCTTTTTTTTGGAGACAGGATCTCACTTTGTTGCCCAGGCTGGTGCAGTGGTGTGATCATGGCGCACTGCAGCCTCAGCCTCCAGGGCTTAAGTCATCCTCTAACCTCAGCCTCTTGAGTAGCTGGAACTACAGGCACACGCCACCATGCCCAGTTAATTTTTAAATTGTTTGTAGAGACAGGGTTTCACCATATTGCCTAGGCTGGTCTCAAACACCTGGGCTCAAGTGATCCACCCACCTCGGCCTCCCAAAATCCTGGAAGTATAGGCGTGAGCCACTGCACCGGCCTATACTATAATTTTTTAAGAAGTCTTACTACATACACAATTTACTGGTAAAACTGAAAGAAAATATACAGATATTTCTGCTGTAAAATAATCTGCTGCTGAAACATTGCCTTAGCAAAACTGTACACTAAAAATAACAGGGTTTACTGCAAAAACAGGATCGGGGCAGATCACTCAAAGCCTATGCAACTCTGTACAAACAGACTAGAGACAGCCCCAGATAGTATTTTTAACATGTGCAAAACAACACAATTAAAATGCTGGATTTGAGGGTGCTAAGGCAAGGAGGATGAAAGTGAAGGCTTGCGCTCAGGAGAAAGTGAAACCCCCGAGATGTACTTTTCTGGGGAAGGAAGCCCCTGAGTAGTGCAGGTACTCATTTTACATTTTCTTAAAGTTGGCTGGGCGCGGTGGCTCATGCCTGTAATCCCAGCACTTTGGGAGGCCAAGGTGGGTGGATCACTTGAGTCCAGGAGTTCAAGACCAGCCTGGGCAACATGGTGAAACCCTGTCTCTACTAAAAATGCAAAAATTAACTGGGCGTGGTGGTGCATGCCTGTAGTCCCAGCTACTAGGGAGACTGAGGTAGGAGGACTGATTGAGCCTGAAACGTCAAGGCTGCAGTGACCTATGATGGCACCACGGTGCTCCATCCTGGGCAACAGAGTGAGAGACCCTGTCTCAAAAAAAAAAAAAAAAATTGTTTTAAAAGTTGAACTGGACGGGCTTCCATTTTTCCAGCTAATAGACATAATTCTACTCCCACTGTTTTGGTTCCTCTTGCCTAGGAAAAACAGCACAGGGAGCGAGCCAACTCACACGTGATATTCACATCATTTTCCTGTCCGCCAGGTGAGTATGTGATGACTAGTATTTAGAAACAGGTGTTGCAACACAATTGACTTGGATGTTGTTTACACACATTTTCCCCTCCCACCCCCAGTGTTCACACAGTCAATTCGCTTGTGTTCCTCCCCCAGCTAGTACGTCTATTATTCGGTCTTTGCAGTTCACACTAGTAGGTCAACACCTGAAGAGGCAGAGGTGTTATAAAAGACAAGCCTCCTACAAAAACCTCAGTAAAATCAGTGGAATAGAGCGGCAAAGCTCACTGTATTTCTTGCAACTCCTGGCAGGTAGAATAAGTTAGTTTGCATGGGGGAAATAAAATGGTTGGAAGGTGGAATATTCTTGCTTTTCTATAGTCCTAGCTTCTGCCTTCCAGATCTTTATCAAGAATACAACCCCCTACCTCCACTTCCCATACACAATCTCCTTCCCAACCCCATTCTCTTCATTTTCTTTACATATTTTGTCTGGGGAATTGCAATGAAGTCATCCAAAGGACCTGAAACATGCCTTCTTGAATTAATTAAGCCTATAGTCACTCATTTAATACAAATGTATCAACTACCCTGTGCTAGAATCTGAGGATACAGAGTAAATCTGATTACTTACCACCTAAAGGAGTATTGTAGCTATATAAAAACACCGAAAATTACAATATGGGGGAAGAAGTGCTTCTATGACAAAGGTGTCATAGGATCCTCTGGCGGTCTTGGGGTATCCCTGTGTGTGACGTCAAAGAGTCAAGGATGGCTTCCCAAAAGGAAGTCACGTTCTGCTACATGAACTTGAATGCTACTATTTATTTTTTGCAGATGAGTTTCCTTAAGTTCTATAATATGATTTAGGAGACTTTCTGGGGCTAAAAAAGTCAAATTTTATTCTTCTCCTTTTTAATGGTGACTAATTAATTGTGATGGTTAATTTTAAGTGTTAAGTTGGGTGGATTAAGAAATACCTCAAATCTGGTAAAGCATTATTTTTGGGTTTGTCTATGAGGTTGTTTCTAGAGGAGATTAGTGTGTGAGTCTGAGTGGAGTAGGTGGGCATCGAGATTTGCCCTTGATGTGGGTGGGCACCATCCAATCCACTGGGGGCCTGGAAAGAACAAAATCAGAAAGAAGGCAAATGTGTTGATCTGTCTGCTGGAGCTAGAATACACTCCCTCCTCTCCGGCCAGCAGAACTCTAGACTCTTTGGCCTTTGGATTTCAGGACTTCTGCCAGTGGTCCCCTGAGTTCTTGGGCCTCTGAACTTGGACTGAGCCAGGCTACCAGCATCCCAGGATCTCCAGTTTGCAGACCTCCTGTCCAGGGACTTGTCAGACTCCATAATCTCATGAGCCAATTCCCCTGATAAATCCCCTCCTCATATATATATATATATTCTGTGGTCTCTGTCTCTCAGGAGAACTCTAATACATTAATGAACCTCATTGTTCAGATCTCAGGTCGTACAGTTGACTTACATTGGCCATTTTTCTCTTGAGATGATGTTTCTTCATTATTTGACCTTGATCTGTAACTTTCTAGTGTGTGTTCTGAAACTTCGTTTTCTACAAGAAAAGAAAATCAAGTGACTAATTTCTGATGCCACGGACATGTAGAAATGTGTGTTTGAATAAGATAATACCTCTGTTACTGTGCAATAGTAGACTTACCATGCCCCTCCCATAACTCATACCCTCATTAATTCAACACATAGTTTTTTGATTCCTGTAGGCACTGTGCTAGGCAGTCCTGGGATTTGTATCCTTCTGTGAATAGAAGTGTCTATCATTGAATGCCAGTTTCTGGAGCTATGCTAGTTTCTATTGGTTATGCACTCTTAGACTATAGTCCCTGGAGATTCGCACCCGAGTTTACTAGAAAACAAACAATTGCTTATCTGAGTGACAGCACTTATCAACTAGATTATGTAGTGTCTGACAGAAAGCTTTAATAGACAGAATTTCCCTTTTTTTAGCCATTTGTTCTGGCGTCTTATAGCCTCCGTCAGGTTCCCTGCCCACTGACCTTTTTTCCATATGACATGTGCTTTCCGCAGCTTCATAATGAAGAGCTGGACTATGATAAAGAGTATGAAGATGAGGAAGGACACCAGCGTGAGCAGCAGGATGCCACTTTTCTTCCTTGCCAATCCTAAATACTGAGGATTTGCTTCTATAAGGAAAATGAAAAAGGAAGTTTATATACTTTGGGTTTTTTTTTTTTTTGTCACTGGAGAATACGTAACAATACTTCTACAATGTGATATAAGCTAATAAACAGCTCAGATGAAGAGATGAGAAAGAGCTTACCCCTGAAGGTAAAGAGACTTACACTGTTCATTCTCTGAGAACAAGCAAACAGGCATACAACAAACAAGGCAATTATGTGTGATGATTTGAAAAGATCTTTTAAGTTACATAGCTATTGGGCTAGTTATTTTTTATTTCTAGAGAAAGCATATGAGAAAATCAACTTAAATTATACTCAGGGGATTCAAATTAGTTATAGGAATGATTTTTAGCAAAATATAGTTAAGTAGCAAGAGGGATTGTTAAGGAGTTTAAAAAACTGTCCAAATAAAATGAAAATTTATTTATCTTGGTTAGGTTAAATGTGGCCCTACAGGAAGGCATTTGGGCTAAATCAGATGAGCTCTTAAAAATATTTCTAGCCAGGTGCAGTGGCTTATGCCTGTAATCCCAGCACTTTGGGAGGCTGAGATGGGAGGGTTGCTTGAGGCCAGGAGTTTGAGACCAGCCGCGGCAACATAGCGAGACTTTGTCTCTACAAAAATAATAATAATAATAAAAATTTGCCAGGAGCCGTGGTGC